CTTTTATAGGCACCTTTAAAATTCCCGTCATCGGTCTAAACTAGGAAGTCACATATGAATAAATTTAATGAATCATAACTGATCATAATTGTTTGTATTAGCATTGGGAGGATTTCTGGAAAAGCAAAAATTCTATATACTTGGATTTCTGCTTAAAGTGGCTGAACCTACCAGTATGTCTACAAAGTAAGTAGCATGTAGACCAAAATGCAGTTTTGTATAGACACGGAAAGTGGTTAAACTGAATACTGGTGAAATACTTTTCAGAGCTAATGAAATTAGTTGCAAGAAGGATAAATAGCCAGCGCTAATTTCGTAAAGTAAACGGTTTTCATATTTACATGTTAGATGTGAATGTTCAGTTTCCTAGTTAACTACGGCTTGTTTATTCAATACCAAACATCCAACCTACCATACCAGAATTAATCAAACAACCTGCTTCTCCCTGAATATTGAAATTTGAAAAATATTTTCCTTTTCAAAAGCCTGGAGATATATTAGAAATAAAGATGTAGTCTGCTTTGAAAATCATACCATATTTTGAACTTAATTAAGCCTACACCTCATCAACGGCAATAGCCCACCGCCACTGGAGACAACTAAACCAAGCCACGTGCCTCTATAGAATGCGGTTCCTTTTATCTATAATTTATTGCTCCGACATAACCCTCCAGTATCAGTAAGGCTTTTTATCCTGTCTTTCGCCCTAATACAACCTTGCAATTCAGTATTTTGGGAGGCCAGTATATAAAATTTCCATGTGCTTTTCGTATAGGTAACTTTCGCTCCCTCTGGTAGGCTTAATATGCCCCGGCCACGAGATGTAATCGATCCGGGATATGAAGGATGCATTGTAGAATCGATTTTCGTGAAAAAAAAGTGGTGTTGATTTGAAGAAAAATTGAGAATTTTAATTTTCAAATTTCCATGTGCTTTTCGTATAGGTAACTTTCGCTCCCTCTGGTAGGCTTAATATGCCCCGGCCACGAGATGTAATCGATCCGGGATATGAAGGATGCATTGTAGAATTGATTTTCGTGAAAAAAAGTGGTGTTGATTTGAAAAAAAAATGAGAATTTTAATTTTCAAATTTCCATGTGCTTTTCGTATAGGTAACTTTCGCTCCCTCTGGTAGGCTTAATATGCCCCGGCCATGAGATGTAATCGATCCGGGATATGAAGGATGCATTGTAGAATCGATTTTCGTGAAAAAAAAGTGGTGTTGATTTGAAGAAGAATTGAGAATTTTAATTTTCAAATTTCCATGTGCTTTTCGTATAGGTAACTTTCGCTCCCTCTGGTAGGCTTAATATGCCCCGGCCACGAGATGTAATCGATCCGGGATATGAAGGATGCATTGTAGAATCGATTTTCGTGAAAAAAAGTGGTGTTGATTTGAAGAAAAATTGAGAATTTTAATTTTCAAATTTCCATGTGAGTTTCGTATAGGTAACTTTCGCTCCCTCTGGTAGGCTTAATATGCCCCGGCCACGAGATGTAATCGATCCCGGATATGAAGGATACATTGTAAAATTGATTTTCGTGAAAAAAAAGTGGTGTTGATTTGAAGAAAAATTGAGAATTTTAATTTTCAAATTTCCATGTGCTTTTCGTATAGGTAACTTTCGCTCCCTCTGGTAGGCTTAATATGCCCCGGCCACGAGATGTAATCAATCCCGGATATGAAGGAAGCATTGTAGAATTGATTTTCGTGAAGAAAAAGTGGTCTTGATTTGAAGAAAAATTGAGAATTTTAATTTTCAAATTTCCATGTGAGTTTCGTATAGGTAACTTTCGCTCCCTCTGGTAGGCTTAATATGCCCCGGCCACGAGATGTAATCGATCCCGGATATGAAGGATACATTGTAAAATTGATTTTCGTGAAAAAAAAGTGGTGTTGATTTGAAGAAAAATTGAGTATTTTAATTTTCAAATTTCCATGTGCTTTTCGTATAGGTAACTTTCGCTCCCTCTGGTAGGCTTAGTATGCCCCGGCCACGAGATGTAATCGATCCGGGATATGAAGGATGCATTGTAGAATCGATTTTCGTGAAAAAAAAGTGGTGTTGATTTGAAGAAAAATTGAGAATTTTAATTTTCAAATTTCCATGTGCTTTTCGTATAGGTAACTTTCGCTCCCTCTGGTAGGCTTAATATGCCCCGGCCACGAGATGTAATCGATCCCGGATATGAAGGATGCATTGTAGAATTGATTTTCGTGAAAAAAAAGTGGTGTTGATTTGAAAAAAAAATGAGAATTTTAATTTTCAAATTTCCATGTGCTTTTCGTATAGGTAACTTTCGCTCCCTCTGGTAGGCTTAATATGCCCCGGCCACGGAATGTGATATATAGTGTGATAACACTGACAACACACAATGTATATAATTTTGTGTAGATACTATAACACCGTTTTACATGGGAAGATGGTGCCGCACCGCCTGCTTACGTTGCGCCGGCTTCGCTGCTGTAGCGACGCGCGATGGTGTCCAGCGCGACGCGGCCGCTGGTGAGAAGAGGGACTATCGTTTGTTGCTGGCTGGCCGTTGTTGCTAGAATCACCGCGGTTGTTTCGTTTGGGCGGTTGTTGCGACCGAAATGTTCACGAAGCGCGCGAAACGTGTATTTTTGCACCATTTTTGTAGTGCTCTTGAATAACTTTAATGCGGTCTTCAATCGAATACGACTCCATAGCGAGCAATGGTAAACATTCAACTAACAAAATGACATGTCGGTGACAGAAAACAAAGATGGCGTCTATGTCAAATTGACGTTTACTTTCCTGCGTCCCTATTGGACAACCCTTTACAATTATAGGAACGACTGACGATACTGCCCTTAGGCTTGCGCGACTGCTTTAGTTTGAGCATCGATCAACATATTCCACTGGAAGATACCCAAAACTAATTTGCTCGACAACCACTTATCCTTACAGCTACGTACGTGCTTCCCATTGCTTTCAAGCAGTAACGTTGGCACTCTTGAACTACTGTCAAAGTTTATGGGGTTTCATTTTCGGTCGTAAGCTATGACAATGGAAATTATATGTGAAGATCCAAATACCATAATCAGTGGTTTCGCATATTGAAACGCGAAGTTAGTCATGCTCGGAATATGATCATAGTCCAGAATACAGGGTTTCCAAAAGTCATGAATCATACCAATGTGTATGTCCTTATCCGATTGTGCATGGTTTTTGAGTTATCCCCAAGAGTTTGTAGAAAATAGCTACTTTTGAGACTGTACAACCACAATCAGATTTACAGGATATATTCCCAAAGACGTATCCATGAATAAAAGCTATCAGTAAAAAATTTTGTCCAGATAATGTAGGTATAGCAATCGGCTCAACTGCAATTCTGTCTGATTTTAAAAATACTAAAGCTTCGAGCATTACTAAAAATTATTAGGCAGATAAAGTTACCATAGTTACGAAAAGCTTTGAGTTATAGCCTTCGAAAATGCCTCCCAAAATATCTTATCTTTCTGTGGAAGACAGACAAAATGCTGCAGGTACCCTCAATCTTGAAAATTCCCATTGTATAAACTTATTCTACAGGGTGTCCCAATTTTCCGTGAACATAGAAGTATCAAGTATTTTAAGACTCAAAATAAGTCGATTTTACATGTTTGACTTTTACAAAAAAAAACACAGGGGTTCGAGAAGGGTAAAAACTACCCCCACCCCTACATAAATAATTATTTTTTCACAACTCTCCTAACGAATCTAACTTTTTTATTTAAAAGACCCTTTTATTTACTTCAGTTTTCGTCTCTTATAAAAACAGGCCATCACGCATAGTTCTCGAGAAAAAAAATGTTTTTCAGAGCTGGTTTCTATAAAATTTTCTTGTTACATGAAGTGTTAAAGTGTAGTAGACATCTAGTAGGTGGAAATGTAAAAAATGATTAACCTTGGCAGTTATCTGTCCAGAAACAAAGAACTAACAACACAAATATCAATCTGTTCGTCAAAAGAATATGCCATATTGACGAGAAAAACAAGCAACAACTTAGCCAATAATCATTTTAAACGTTAATTAACTTAGCAAAAACAAATAACAAATTAACAATCATAAATAAACTCAAATATTACTTCTTAATTATACTTTATGAAGCTTGTTGTCAAAAATAATCTGACACTGGCATAACATCCCACATTTCCGCCAACTAGATGCCTACTGGATTCTAACACTTGATGTAATGAGGAAAGTATATGAGATGGCCTGTTTTTTTAAGAGACAAAAAATGAAGTAAATAAAAGGATCTTTTGAAAAAAAAACAGAGCCGCTAATGAATTCTGCTGTAATTTATGTAGTAGTGGGGGTATTATCAATCTTTTTTTTGATAGACGAACATTAGGAAGTCTAGCAAAACACATGTATTCCAAATTTCATTCAAATCGAATTATCGGTTCCAAAATATCTGAAAAACATGTGTTTTAAAAAGAAAACATGGAGGCCCTCTAACGTACAAACGAAGAGGTAAATCATGTCCACGGAAAATTGGAATACCCTGTAGAATAAGTTGATACAATGGGAATTTTCAAGATTAAGGGAACATGGACCATTTTAATATTTAATTACTTAAAAGGTATTTTGGTAAGACATAATATCTGGAAGTTTTTCGTAACAATTTACAGTGCATCTGTCCACTGATTTTTGCAAGCCTACTTGAATATGCTGTAATATTTTTGACAATATAAAAAAATTACCGTTCAGCCAACTGCTACCTACATTAACTGGGCTAATTTTTGGCAGATTGCTTTTGTTCATCGATACATCTTTTAAGAACATATCTGTTAAGTTGATTGAGAGATGATAAACTATAACTTCATAAAAAATAGCCTCAGAAGGCGATTTTCTACAAAGTCTTCAAAATGGTGATAAGAACGTAAGAAGTACATATGTTTTTTATCCATGATTTTGAGACACTCTGTATGTCAAATAACTAAATCATAGTTACAGCTGTCAAGGTATTTTCAATCTGTTATTTGTTTCAGCTTCCTTCATGGCCCCCGTATCGAGTGGTGACTTGATTTTAAATGAGACTGTATGTACAGTTCTCATCAAAACAGTGCGAACATTTTCCATAAGTTTGTGTATTCATACTATCGTTAGATAACTTAGAGGTTATTGTAAATTGAAATATTTCTTCAAACAAGAAAGTTGATAAAACTGGAGGCTAATTTCTGTGATAATCTAAAAAACGTAGATGTAACTACAAAAAAATTACTATTCTACCTGTGGGTCATAGAAGCTTCAACTTGCGTCCGTGGTATGTGAGGTATTCAAAATTATGCTGAAGGACTTGTGGTGAAAATGTTGAATTAATTCGTAAATTAAATTCGAAATTTAATATTACAGCAGATTTCAGCGAAGCAAAAATACTGATTCTCGTTTGGATGTATACACAAACATTCTTATCTTCGTGCTAAATTAGCGATAATTGTAAGCTTTTTCTTGAACCTCAATTTGTAACAAATTTCGAGTCGTTAAGTGCATCGAAAAGTTCATTCCATTTTACATAACTGAAGGCCTTTTCAATATTCAGCATTGTATCCAGATTGATTACTTTTTGTATATGCATAGTGTACGTACATTTTTTCATGCTATCAATAATGTAAGTTCCCTCTGTTCTTTCATTATTTTTATATTTGCTGGTTTCACTGTTTAGGTATTTTCCCGAAAAACTAAATAGAAAGTAGAGAACAAAGATATTTATATGAAAGATCTTGATTAAAATTATTTTTTTATGTGGGTAGCGTAATCTGAAACAAATTTTTTAATAAAGTTTCACTAGTTATGTAGCTATCAATTTATTGCTACAAGGTTAAGCTGTTTCCAAATTGATATTTTTGATCTGATTTTAGTGTAAATCATTTGGGATATACAGTGTTTCAGAAAGAAGTGACAAGATTCCAGGGGTAGAAAATACATCCAAAAATAACAAAAAAAGTTCCTATAAATATGGGTCCAAGGTTGCTCCCCTACCGAGATACGGGGTGATGAAGTTTTATTTACGAAATTAGAAAAATATATATCTACGGAGCGGGTAACAGCATCTACGCTACAGATTGAGAATAAGTCACGCATATTATTCAATTAGTGTTGTAATGAGGTGCCATAGCTTTCTTCACATGCCGTATAGTGTTTACAATATCAAGCTTCACAGTGTTTTCAGAATAGGGGAGGCTAAGCCTTTTTATAAGAATATTGTATTTTACCTCGAATATTCATACCAAAAAATCTCCAAATCGAGTGATCTGGCAAAAATTTCTCGAGAAACAAAATTTGTGGAAAATTGAATGGCATTTTATAAAATGCACTTCTTTTCTCCGAAAAGGCCAATGGCGTCGAACCAGTGGCCTAGAAAATACTTCTTATTAGAGGTTGACTGGACCCCAGTTTCTACGTCTGTTTTAGTTTGGGCCGGGAAACTCTGGGTGTTCACTGAACGTCTAAAATCCTAACTCAGTATCTTTACCCGCTCCATAGATATATGTTTGTAAAATTTCTTAAATAAGACGTCATCACCTGTATGGGAGCATCTTTGAACCCATATTTATAGGACCTTTTTTTATTACTTTTGGATGTACTTTCTACCCTAGAGATATTGGCACATCTTCCTGAAACACCCTGTATATCCAATAATATTTTAGCTCATGCATTTTTAGATTATCATAGTTGAATAAATTGTCTATGATTTAAATGTATACTATGAAATTTTTTTTATTGCTATACCTATGAAGACAAAGTTCAATGGGTCTTTCCTGGTTGATTTAGTGGAATTGTAAAGAAAATTTTGAAGGGTGGGTTGAATATTTCATGTTTTACCATATATGTTGTGTATGTGGACAGAGGTAGAACAAAATCGGTCTAATCATATTAGACGAGAATGCCCCTGGCTTGCGAATTGATTGTGAAGTCTGGTTTTATTACTGCAAGTTGTTCAAGGGCATAAAATAGGTACACCAATTTTCGTGGGAAAACTATTCGACAACAAAGAATGAGAAAACGTGTTTTTTGTGATTCAATCTAAAGTGTTGGCAGAAACGAGAAAACTCTTCATCTAAGATTTTTAGGTATTTATGAGATCTACAAAATCAGACCACACGTAAAAAGATCCGTTATTGCCGAAAACCGAGGCAAACTGCAGGTTTTGGCACTTGGTAATGCGACGATGGTTTCTCGCAGATATTTTAAATTCATCAAATTCGTTGGATTCGTACTTTTAAATAACCACAACAAAATTGGAGTAGACTGGTCAAGTAGTTTTTGAGAATGTCTAATTGTTTATCCCAAAACACCTGTTTTCCGGCCATCACTACTAGTTTATTGAGCAATATACAGGGTTAGTTCAAAGGCATTTTATAGCAAACCATTCCGTAAGATGAATGTTATTTTTATGCATAAAACGATGATTTACGTTTTTTCTTCTAAACAAATTCAAACATTTCGTATTTGTGAGTAATTCGCAACAAAAGATGATAGACACATTCGCTTTGTCTTAAAATGTGTATAGTAACGTGTTTTTCGAATATCGTAGCGCATTTGTTCAATCACTCACAAATACGAAATGTTTGGATTTGCTTAGAAGAAAACGCAACCTTTGTTTTTCGCATAAAAATACCATTTATCCTTCGGAACAATGGTCTTTTAATGAACCCTGTATATGGCTCAATAAACTAGTAGTGATGGCCGGAAAACAGGTGTTTTGGGAAAACAATTGAAAATTCTCAAAAAACTACTTGACCAAAATGCTCTAATTTTGTTGTTGTTATTCAGAAGTATGAATCCTACGGATTTGAAGAATTTCAAGTAGTTGCGTGAAATTATGGTCGCATTACCAAGTGCCAAAACCTCGTAAAAATCTTATATGAAAAGCTTTTTTTGTTCCTGTCAACACTTTCGATTGAATCCCAAAAAAACACGTTTTCTCATTCTTTGTTGTCAAATAAAAAGTTTTCCTACAAAAATTGGTGTACCCATTTCATGCGATCATGTTTAAAAAAACCCATTGAACAACTTGAACCAATAAAACTGTTTGTACCTCACACATTTGATATAACTAGCTGTGAAGTTGCGATGGTAAGTACTGATTATTCTGTTCTATCTTGGTTAACATATATGATTGTTCATAGCCATTAAATAAATGTGAAGCTTACGTTATTTCGAGCAGGAAATGGATTAGATATTTAAATCTTGGAAGGTTCATGTGAACGATGATTTATAAATGGGCAAGTCACTTCTGATATCTGGAAAATATTATTTTTTGTTATTCAATCTTATGTTTTAAAATAAATATGTTTGTATAATAATTAGGGTAGTTATATATGTAAAATATAGATATTGTCAGTTGTATACTCAAATACATTTATTTACATGCAGTAATGTCTATTAATTCTAAACTCAATACATCCTTTTATATATTCTTTACCCAGAAATTCTTAATTCTCTTTCACTTTTAGCTTAATCCGTAATAATGATATAATCAGTTTATTTTTTTTGATATTAATGAAATAATGGATAAAATATTAATTTCTAATCCAAATCATATTCTGAATCAGGAATAAGAAGAAATTGTAATTAAAGTTCCTAATATTAAAGGTACTAGTCAATTTCCAAATCCCCCAATTATAATAGGTATTACTATAAAAAAAAATTATGACAAATGCATGGGCAGTAACAATAACGTTATAAATTTGGTCATTTCCAATAAGTGAGCCTGGAGTGGTGACAAATCAAGGTGGGACTTGCGTTTGCTCCAAATTTATAGAAGTGCATGAGATATTTACAACTCCAAAGTATCGAATCAACACATCTGGTGGAGGTTGAATAAATCCCCTGTTCCTAAGATAATTCCTGTAACCATTAGTTAATATATTCCACCACAAAGAGACTGGCTCGTCAATACAGATCTCCTAAGAGTACGATATCGTTAGAATTGGGGAGAAATGGTCTTAAATATCGAAAGATACTTAAGTGCCATCAAGTGAGCCGGATACACTTTGCCAATGGAAAATTCATTATTTTAGATGAAGTATACTAAGTGACATATAAATCCGAACACCCTGTTTAAATGGTTTTATTTTAATAACATTTTGTATAAGTACTTAATGAAGCATAATAAGCAAATGATAAAAATTTCAAAATGATTGCACTGCTTTAAAGCCCTTTGACCTTTAATAATGTGTGGATGCACCCTGATGTGCTACGCATTCTCCAACGCACCTAGGCATGCTTCTGATCAGGTGGTCAATGTCCTCCTGTGGTATCTCATTCCAGGCAACCACCAACTCCTCTCGAAGTGCTTCTAGAGTCTGAGGTCAAATAATAGTCAACTGACTACAATTGGTAGTTTAATAACTATTTCAAATGTATGTATTTATTTTTCAAAAATCATCCTCAATTCTAGCCCCTTAGTTGCCAATACAGGTCTGCATTTTTTCCAGCTTTGTTTGTGACCTTGTGAGATAAAATGGAGCTCTTAGCTGTCCTGCTTTAGTCACTATGCGCTAGAGAAATTGTTTTAATGTAACGAATTTTCTGATGCCTGATAACACTGTTCTGTACGAAAATCCTCTCCGCCAAACAAATACGTTATTTCGTATATTTAACCGTTACACCGACCTTCAAATTGTCATATCGCGTAATGGAGTCCAAATAGTACCAACAACATCCTTTAAGCAGGTGTAAAAGATCCCCCACAACGAAGCGGTAAGGCGATAGCGATAATCGCACCGCTGTCCATGCGGTGCTCAGTTTTCAAAGTGGTTCCTATCGCTCATTACCACGTTTTTTCACGATGTCCACAACGGAGAAGTTAATTGAACAAGTTAAGAAGTTAAGTTAAGTCACGAAGACATACAAGTTGCAGGAAAAAGGATAAAGTGTGGGATCACATTAAATTTAAGATTTCATGAAAACATCCGGGAGTCATTCGAAACTATACGTAAAAACGTTGTGGATGTCTACGTAATTCGGGCATTAAAGTACATTTTCCATATATCCTTTGTTTATTCATATTTATGATATATTCATTTGTTCTTTTTCCTTAAACACAGCTATTAATTATCATTAACTAATTATTATCATCAAAATACTTATCTTTTTTGCTTTTTACCTTCTGCTTATGCCAATAATAATAATAGTTCTTCTTCATCAGAAGACATTTCATACAAGAAATCAAAAAACCGCTATCGCTGTATCGCGTCGATGTGGGGGACCCTGAAGAATGCACATACGTTTTTTCTTAGTCTTAGTCTAGGGAAAGTACTTACTTATTGAATGGCCCATATATTCAAAAATCGTTTCCTATCTCTTGATTCCCGCTGTTTCTAGAAAATACCAGATGTTAGAAATGGGTATATAAGCAGGCAGCCGCTTGTCGGAGGATCAACATTACAGTATTCAGCAGTGGATATATGAGCGAAGCAATGCCGTTGCGTTTCGAACAGTTTAAGTTGTATTTGGGGTGAGGTGACACTGCAAGCTCAGCGAAAGACCTTGATCCCACTTGTAAGAAAAGCCTACGAGTTATATTTCGGGTTCAAAGTTGCCGATCAAGGCAAAACTTGCTGCCGCACTTGCTCAAGAACCTTAGCAGGATGGCTACGGGGTACTCACACTTCTATGAAATTTGGAGTGCCAAAAGCAAGCATAAACTAGTGCATCCTAATATCCCCTCGGCCAGTACACCTGTACCTCAAGACTCTTCTAGCATACCTGTTTCTAAGCCTCCAAAGATATAAATTGTACCAGATAATTCTGACACAGAGGAGCCAGAAGCCGGTCCAAGTTTTGAAGAGGAAGTCCTTTTCGAATGTAGTAGCAGCAACCAGCCACATTTTATATCTCAGGAAGAGCTCAATAATCTAGTTCGTGTTTTAGATCTACCCAAAAGAAAGGCACAAGTACTTGGATCTCGTTTGCAGCAATGGAACATTTTACGAACATTGTGAAAATTTCCACGTTTCAGAGCAGGCAGCCCATTCTGGCCGTATTTTTCTCGACGGAAAATGACTTAGTTTACTGTCATGATATTCCAGGTTTACTGTATGAACTTAGTATTTCCTATGTACCTATCGAGAAGCGACTATTTATTGACTCTTCGAACACAGGTTTAAAGGCAGCTTTGTTGTTCAATGGAAACGAACGGCCATTAGTTCCCGTAAATATGAAAGAAACATACCAGGGCATGCGCATATTACTCCGAAGCATAAAATACGGAGATCATAAGTGGAGTATCTGTGCCCATCTCAAAGTTATTGCTTTGCTCACAGGGCTGCAGAGTGGCTTCACAAAATATTGTTTTTTATGTGAATGGGACAGCAGAGCCAGAAACTAACATTATTTATGTCCTTAATGAACCCTTAGTAGATCAGCAAAAACATTATTTACCTCCTCTGCGCATAAAACTATGGCTTATAAAAATGTTCGTGAAAGCCTTAGGTAGAGAAGGAAATGCATTCCTTTATTTGTGACGGAAATTCCCGCGTATAAGTGAAGCAAAGCTTAAAGAAGGAATTTTCGTTCGACATCAAATACGAGAACTCTTGACGGACCAGAATTTTAAAACTACACGTTCGAGAAAGGAAAAAAGGGCATAGGATAGAAAAAATATATGTAGCAACTTCCTATGCAACAAAAAGTCGGACAACTACAAAGATCTAGTTGAAGAGCTTATCCAATCTTATAAGGCCTTAGGTTGCAATATGTCACTTCACTTCAGCTGCATTTTCTTCACTCCCATTTAGAATTCTTCTCTGAAAATTTGAGTGCAGTTTCAGAGGAGCACGGCGAAAGATTTCTCAGATGGAGAAGCGCTATAGTGGAAAATGAACTCCTAACATGCTTGCGGACTACTGCTGGACCATTAAACGTTAAATCGTTCCTGGTGAATACAAGCGACAAGAGACAATCAAATAAATTTTTTGTTTGTTTTTTTATACGAGAAGTGTATTTTCTAAAAAAATTCAACACAGTAGACGCAAAAAACCCAAAAAAAATTCGGAGACCGACAAAAATTTTTAGAATGCCGGACAGTGATAATTTCCCGTCTTATCTATTTTCTATGTGTAGTTTTTCACTGGCCCCAAAGACGAATAAATTCGACAACTGAGAAGGTGATATTAATATTTTCGATGCACTTCAACAGTCTATAAAATCATATAAGACAATATCGTACTTTTCAAATTATCGATCAATGTAAAATTTGCTTCGTTGGTGGAGCTGTTAAAGATCTACACATATCGAAAACTCGTGCCACGGTCAGTTATAAGACTCAAAATAATTCGCGATACTAGAGCAATTTCATTAACACATAGTAATTACGGCAAAACTAATGAGGGGCATTTTACCACAGAGGTGAAAAAAAAACAGGAGGCAGAAAGTGGATATACTCGTAGACCTCTGTTCGCAACTAAGACGCTCATGTTGATCATGATTTTTGAAAAATAGGTAGTGGTGCGAGATCTGCAAAGAGGAAGATGTCGGTAGGAGTGCCACAAGGTTCTGTCCTCTGTTCTCATCTTTATTAATGATCTTGCAAATAATGGGTTAATGGCCAAATATACCTTCTTTGCAGATGTCACATCAATATCTCTTGCAGCTAGCTCCCTGATGGAAGTACAACATCAAACAAACGCTGAATTGAAAATAAGGATCGAGTTATTTCTTTAGATGTGTCACTTGACCCTTAGCTCCAATGGAAAAGCCGCATAGAACTTTCTCAGAATATTAATGTCCTTCGCAACTTATTGCGAGAAGTGTCGCCAAAAATACTCCGTATTTGTTAATTCGCGATACATACATATGCAGTTGAATCTCGAGACGGGAGGAGTAAGCACGCTACGGGATCCATCGGTTTCCAGGGCTGCTTACGAAGACTTGTTCTTTATTACATACAAATGTATATATATGTACATAGAAAGCATCAAATTGACTATAAATGTAAGGTTAAAAATCAATAGTTTTAGAGATTTTTATAATGTTTTAACAACCCCCCGAAATCGACCATTTGAGTATATATTATTGAAAAACTGTAAGAAATGCATGACTAATTTTCAGGGCACCTCCTACCACAAAGGCGACGAAAGCTGGAGCTTAAAAGTGGATTCAGACCTAACGCTACTAAAAGAATATCGTATTCACCGGTATTTCTGAAAAAATCAATACATGTCAGGCAGCAGCGGTGGCGTAGTGATAAACGCTATGGGGCTGATCAGTCGCCGTGCGCTGTGCGGGTTCGAAACTTATCCCAAGAGAATTTTTCGTGTTTGGAGTATATAAAAGAAAGAACAACCATTTGAAAAGTACATATCTAGTTAATTGATTATTTGATATAATTGGTTTGATTCGCTGTTTGTTAGGAATTTAAACCGTCCGT